CGTGGCAGCGGCTGGAGTGTGAGATGGAACGTTCCGCGAGGGGCAGCGGCCGCTGAGAGATGCAACCTTGTGGGGGGGTCGGCGACATGGCAGCGGCCAATGTGAGATGGAATCGTCCAAGGGGAGTCGCGGGGGGCGGGGCCAGGACGCTGGGCGCCCCCTGGAGGCGTTGCCCAGAGGTGGGGGGCCGCCGCCGGCTCCTTGCAGGCTGTAGCCCAGAGGCCCTGGCCGGGCTGGCCCTGCTTTGAGCAGGGGGTTGGACTAGATCAGCGGTTCTCGCCTTTTCTTGTTTTTACCAGGCCCTGTTTGTAAACATCCATGGCGAGTCGTGATCCAGTAAATAGTTTAAGTCGAAAACAGCTCCTGGTCCCTCGCTGCTGCCCTGCTGGCCCCAGCCCCCCAGTGTGTGGGGTAGGGGGGGACTCAAGCAGCCCCTGGCAGGCTGCAACTCTGCCAGCCTGCAAGGGAAATCCCGTGTTTCCCACGTTTTTCTCCTAGAAAGGAGAAGATGTTTCTAAAGTTTGGGACCCTTTCTATATTGGTGAGAGCCACTTTTGTGACTCACGGGTTGAGAAACGCTGGACTACATGCTCTCCCAAAGACCCTTCCAGCCCTCGCTTTCTATGATCCTGTGACAGTCATAGTGCTGATAACACCTTCTAATAGTGCTTAAAGTCCTGTACGGACAATAGGTTTGCTCAAGCGATGGTGCCCTGCAGTGCTTCTGTCACTTACTTCCCAGGCAGGCATCAAATTAGAGCAGAGGTTTTGCTTTTTTCCCCGGTGTGGTGTTTTGTGAGGCTGGGGAGTTGGAACGAAGTGCTAAGACAGTATCCAGCTGCTAATGAATCTAAGCATTTACTATCCTTTAAACTAAATAGTACTGATTTGATAGGTGGGTTGGTCCCCAGTGTCTGAATGAAGTTAAATTTAAGAACTGTTGTAGAAAACTGAGGTTCTAATAGGAGCTGGATCAATAAGAGTTGAGTTGGGCTTTCACAAGATGATTAGTATACATCACAACATGGATTTTTGGTATTTGGAGTAGTGTTTGCTACAGAACAGATTGTAGGTATTGCGTTTATCTTGGTTGTCATGCAGACACATTGTGGGTATGAAGAAGTGCAGCGGAAATCGGAGGAAGGACATTTTAAAAAAAGCCTGTGTAAGGTACTAGTACAACTCAAAAAGTATTCAAGGCTCTTCAATCTAGATAACTTCTCTTTCCTGGGTGGTTTTGACAACTGCAGTGTCCTCCTGGACTTTGTTACAGTGTTAATTCTTCATGGTAAACAAAGAAGGAAGACAAATTTACAGATTTAAAAGGCTTAGTCCTGCAGGCTGTTGAATCAGCATTAACGCTTCTACAAGTCAAGAAATGTTGTATGCACTTCAGAAACTCTCTCTCAATCTGAAGGAATTGCTGTCTCAGCACTTTTTTAAAACAGTCACTTGATCAAACAGGAAAACTGCTCAAAGTTTGTTCAGATTGTCCTTTTCAAGTGCCCTATCCTAAAACTTAGCTTAGTTTATTAAATAGTTTGTCTATGTTTCTTTCTGTTTTTCTGTTCTTTGTGCTGATTGCATACAGCAGTGGTTCTCAACCTGTTTAAAGTTGAGGCACCCCTTGTTTGACTCAAGGCACCACTCAGACTCGAAGCACTCCTCCATAACTTGTGTGTATTCAGTAGCACCACATTTCAAAAACTAATTTATAGGGATTTGGGGGGCTGATACCGATAGCCAATTTTTAAGGAGGCATATCAGCTGATACTGATCCGATTTCTGATATGCAGCCGGGCTTGAAGAGCTGTGTGCAACTGGTAAGTCTGTTGTGGTGGAAGGGGAGGGAAGGGATGTTGGGGGGTCAGATGAAGGCCCCCACAGTGAGGGAGGAGTGGTATGGGGGTTGGGGCAGGCACTGCCCTGGGCTGGGCAGGGCGTGGGATGGATCTGCAGCTTGTCTTGGGGACATGGGGAGGGGAAGTGGCTTCCCCCGCTGCATGCATCCTGGGGGGGCATGGGGAACATGTGCCTCGGATCTGCATGGGGTGGCTGCAGCTGCGGGCTGGGGTCAGGGCAGTGCCAGGCTCTTCCTGGCGGGGGCTGGGCTGGGGCTTTGCTCTGGGCAGGTGGAGGTGGTGCTGGGAGAGGAGTTATTGGGGTGGGGGATGCAGCCACCTCAAAATTCTCTGTAGTCCCCCCATTGCCTTCCTCTGAGCACCGCTGCTGCCCGCCTTGAGCGCAGTCCCTGCCCAACCCCCCATCTCGCGCACTGGTAAGAGCCTGGTGTAGCCCCAGCCCGCAGCTGCAGCCCACCCTACCCCACCTCAGAGATCTTGGGGCACACGTCCCACCCACCCCCTCCCTCCCTCACCACAGGGGCCTTGACCTGCCCCCCCCCACACCCCTTCCCTCCCCCTTCCACCACAACAGACTTACCAGCTGCACGCAACTCTTCAAGCTGCCAAGCTGTGCTCCTCTCTGCCTACATGCAGTGCTATGGCTGTGCACATGCATGGGCATTTAATCGGCCAAATCAGGCCAATTTCTGATGCAGTAAATTTTCTTTAAAATCGGTGCCAATCGGATATCGGACCAACGCATCAGTGCACTTCTACTCTAGGAGTGTTTACCTCCTTGCTGATGGGCAAGGAAGTGGAGGCAGGGCAGTTGCCAGGCAAGGATGAGCCTGAGCTTGCCCTTATGTCCTCACATCTTGTGGCACCCAAGATTTTGTGGCATCCCGGGGTGCCTGACATACAAGGTACCTTGGCATCCTAGGTACGTTTCATCAAGGGGAACCAGACTGACAGACGGGGCGAATGGGGTCAGGGGGCTATGAAACTGGGTACTCACGAAGTACTGCAGAAGCATAAACAATAAAACACAATCGCACAGAAATGAAGTTTCACTTATTTTAGTTGTAGCAATAAAGGGAACATGGTTTAAGAAAAAATTAATTTGTTTTTGTTTCCTTCATATATTTTCATATCTCTTCCTTCTACCACTCCCCACAGTTTATCACTATGAAATTTTGAAACTGATGTTCTTTTTCTTATCCCATTAGATAAAAAGACCTTCACTAACTGTTTGCAACTGGGTAGCAAATATATTTTAAAAAGAAAAATAAAGTTCTTCATTGCTCTCTCTTTCCCATGTTTTTCCATCTCTCACATAGGCTTTGTAAAACAGTGGCAGGCTGGTGTTGGTCAGACTCACTAGTTTCATCACAGTCATGAAAGCTACAGGCCTTTTGAGGATTTATGGAAAGCAGTAGGAGCCCTGTTCATTTTGGGGCTGGCTATGCTGTACCTTATTGTTTTTTAATTCTAATATTATAAAAGCCTTAGTCTGTCTGTCCATAACGCTTTATTCACAGTCTGATTGGTTACCTTGGCAGCCAATCAGAGTGTTCTGGACAGAGATGCATAGTGGAGTGCTGCCATGACAGCAGGGACTGAGGTGTCAGAGCAGGGCAGGGGAATGCAGAGGGGATAACAGGGATTGGAGCGCCACCACGATGGAGGGGACAGAGCGCAGGGGTGGCGGAGGTGTGGAGTGCTGGCTGCTTAGCGCTCGCCTCACACAGCAGAGCACTGCCATAGCACTGGGGACTGGAGCCAGAGTGGACTGGTGGCTCCGTCCCTGTCCTGAAGTGGTGTGGGGGGTGGGGAATGGCCTTGGTCTGAAACAGCAGTGGGGTGCTCTCGCCCTCTTCCTCTGTCTCTCTCTCTTGCCCCTTCCTTCTCTCAAAACTGGCAAAAAATTTGGTTTGCCGTGCACTGTGTGGCGCTTTAAGTTCCCCAGTAATAATTTGGCATGCTGCATAAAGCACGGCACTGGGTTCAGCTCTCCTAGCTTTGGCCAACATTGCCTCTAGCCCAGGTACATACTCGAGCTGTGCACCCCTGGTATAAAAGGTGGCAATCCTACCCACACTAGATCAGACATCTGTCATATCAAGGCCTTATATACACAGCCCTTCTTCCAACATATGGCACATGTTAGTCTGTAAATATAAAATCCTCTGGAAAATTGAGTGTTGGCTTACTTATTAAAATTTTCAGAACTTAGGGGGTACTTACTTTTTAAAAGGTTGAGAAACACTGTATTAGAACACCACAAGTTGAAAACTGGTGTCCATGTTAACAAATGTCAAAGTAAATAGTTTCAGAAAATTTTATGGACTACTAGGTAATATTCTAACAGAGTCTGTTAGAGGTAACTTAAAGATTCAGATCCATCTTGGACTAGGAAATGACTAGATGTTACCGTATCAAAATTAGATTGTCCAGCCCAATTTTTGAAAGCCATCCCTGGCAAAATTATTTGAATGCTTTGTTTTATCACAGTTCTACACTGCATCCCCCCAGCCTTTCAAATGATGACCAAAGAATCCTGTTCCATGTGTGAATATGATGTGGAAACACCAGACTCATGTTGTTCCCAAAGAATAAAGGCGAGCTAGAAATCAAGAGGTGTCTGGACCAGCAGTCCTCATGAACTTTTAGTTTACAGCTATATTCCTTCTCTATCTGTTTCACAGAATCATAATGTTGTTAATAAAAGAGAATTAATTTAATATCATGGCCCATGGAAGTCTCCACAAAAGATCACTCTGCAAAAAGATAAAGTAATAAGAACTTGTAAAGGAGTACGGTCTTTATTCCAAATGTGGATGTATGTTATCAAATACTATCTTTCATTTGACTGTTAATGTATTTTTGAAGGATGAAAAGGTATTGTGTTGCTCACTTCAGTTTGTCTCATTCAGAACAAGAATTAAACATAGGTATGAATCATTGTTTTTCTCCAGTCTTGTGACTTTATATTTGAAAAAACCCTTGGGGCTAGTCCTACACAGCATAGGTTCCCATGATCTTTGGATGGAAATTTTACCTGCACAGAATCAGGACTATAACATTAAAAAAATGTAGTTATTAATAAAGTATGTGAGGAGACCTGAAATGCTCAAGCACAGTGAGGCAAATTTCCTTGGCAAGAATTAAATACTTATAGGATGCATTTACATGTTCATTAATATACTTGTGCATATTAAATTTAGTGCCTCTAATTTGAGGGCACTTTTACACACATTCTGGAAGTGAGTGATGCTGCACTTTAGAGTGGCTCCGAGGGCTCCTTTAATTAAAAGTGCAGCAGCAGTGTTTCCTGTACTAGTGTCCCCGTGCTTAAAAATGGCAGCAGGAGTGCTTGAACTAAAGCTTGTTCAATGCTGATACATGAAGCATGGGAAGCTGCTGGAGCACAGTAATTACTATGCACTGTAATTACAGCATGTCAGGGCAACCTCCACATTTGTGTACAGGCATCCAGAGGCAATGGCGATGTGTAGGGGGTGTGCGTGCACCTCCTGAGAGTGCCAGTGTACCCCCTGGCTGGCCATGCTTGCTGCTTAGGCGATGGGCCGGGAGGGCAGGCAGGAACACCAGTAACCCCCCCTGCAAGCACTAGCCGGAGAGTGGGAGCGCTGTGGCACTCCCAGAAGTGGCCGTAGTGATCGGCTGCACCGGGGGGGGGACCCCTGTCATTTCCTCCCCGCCCCCCCCGCCCCTGTTTGCTGACTGGTCGCGGGGGGAGCACATGCCTGCCCTGACTAAGGTGGCACCAGTTGCCCATGCCCAGAGGTACTAAATAAATGCACATTAGGCTGCCCTAATCCACAGTAACAAAAGCGTACACAGTGCTACGGTTGCCAGCACCACAACTGAAAGAGACCTGGGTGTCATGACAGATCACAGAATGAACTTGAGCCACCAACGCAATGCCGTAGGTGGCAGAGTGAGTCAAACACTAGCATACCTCTATCAATGTATCTCAGCATGGTTGGAGAAATCTGCTTCAGCTGTGTTACGAGTGAGCAGACCAGTATGTGTAATAAAATGTGGTGTAGAAAGAAGAGTATTTCCTCTGAACACCTTGTTCTGTTTTTTTGAACAGCTTATAAATTCAAATATTAAAAATCTAGAGTTTTGGAGGGCTGCCCTTGTGGCTCAGAGTTTAGACAAATAAAAATAATAAATGAACATTAGCACGCTCTTTGCAGCTTAGGTCACCTCCACCCTTCCAATGACTTGACAAGTCTGGTTGTGCCTCTTCTGTTACATGAAGGCTGAAGACTTATTGCTAAATATCTGCAGACAGCAAACATCAGAGGGAAGCAGAAAGATCTGCAGATCTCTAATACTACAGGAGAGGACAGTTTTGGGAAAGCCTAAATAAGTGTTTGTGCTGTATAAGAGGTGTCCTGCTTAGAACTAAGGAAAGGGTGTCAGCCTTTGATCCATGGAGAAAATGTTGGGGGTAG